CGGGCTGGTTTCTTTACCTGCCACGTCTGCAGGTTCGGCGGTTCACCACTCCAGGCCAAAGGCGGCTGCGGGAAGGGTGGCCAGCACATCCCTCGGCCCACGCCGCTTCCCGCAGCCCCCATTGTCCTGGAGCAGCGAACCGCGGCCAGTGAGAGCCGCGATGGGCCGAACCTGTGGACATGGCAGGCAAACAAACTGGCCCGGCCCGCCAGGGGCTTTCCCTGAACAAGCGGCGGCCCTAGTTTGAGAACCATGAGTGCAGGGACTGGATTAGATGACCTCTTAAGGTCCATTCCAGTCCTATGATTCTATGATTTATTAACATTGCTCTGATGCCAGCTTTCATGCAGAACTGGACAGGGAGCTCCATTTGTGGGCTACTGATAGGATCTGACCCTGTGTGCTAAACAGTACACAGAAGGCCTGATTCTTCACTGTCTTGCACCTTACTGACACCTTTGGAAGGTGGGTGTAAAATGCTGCCACCAGTGTGAGTTTTGGTAGTGTTTTTACACCCACGTTGCATAGGTGTCAATGACTACACAAGTTGCAAAGCGCTTGAGAACTGAGCCCAGACACTGTGCTCATTTTGATTACTGGGGGTGAGGTGCAGCACACACTGTTTGGCAGCTAGAAAAAAGTCTGCTATTCATGAAGAAGCAAGGCAGCAGGTTATTCGAGATGTGTGAGAACAGTGTGCATAGCACATCTGAGGCTAAATTCTGCTCCAGCATAGATGCTTGATGTTGCACAGTCCTTGGTTTGCACATGGAAGTGTAGTGCCATTAATGAGAATTCCATGCACAGATCTAAGCTAGCCCAGGGCTCCAGATGTTTGATGTCAGCTACATGGACACACATCATGGGGTTTTTTTAAATTCAGGTACTTAACTATGAGCACATTCACGAGGCACTAACTAGGAACCATTTGGTATAGTCAGTAAGTTTCTTCTGGCATTTCCTAGTGAATGGAATAGGTGACGAGAACCAGCTAAGGAACTCTGAATTGGTGTCGGACTAGGGGAAGGTGCCCTCAATCTGCCTGTCTCTTGGAATAATTAATTAGCAGTGTTTATTCTGTTCAGTAAATATAATAATTTGGCATTTCCTACCTGCGTTAAGTGGATTCTGGTGGCATGCACATCAGGGGCCCATCAAAGTCAAATGGGAGTCCTTCCGAACGTTTTCAATCAGGCTCTAGTTAATAAAGCAAATCATGCCTGAAACTGACCAGCCTCATCAGTTTCGAATACCCTCTAGTGTGTATGAGCTGGAGGAGTCCAGCATTGCAACTCTGTGCTATAGCCTTTTAGGAAAGCCTCACACTTTTTGAATTGCCCTGTACAGTCATTCTTCTAAGTGTTTTCAAATACACCTTTCCTGTCACAGCATTTTAATGATATAAAACCTAAAATCAAAGACCCTTTAAATTGTGAGCTACAAATGGAAAGTCAAAACTCTGCTGCGCGTGACCTCAGTAGAGCTGTTTTCACAAGTTTTGGTGATAGGTATCCCAGAACCGAGAGCCAAAGAACTCTCAGGGCCAAATTGTAACCTCACTAACACCTTTTGAATCCAGTGCGGGGGAACAGGAATAAATGAGGTCAGTAGTAGGTCTTAAATATCTGCTGTACCAAAGCAATGAAAAATACTGCTTACCATAAAAATGAATTCCAACAGGCTGCACTGCAGGGAAGAAAGGATCTCACAACACAGTTGATGAAAATGGGAACTTACTGGCATTTTTCTTTCTGCTTTCTCAAATATTTATTTTCTCTCCATACATCAGAAACACTGATAAGGTAGTTCAGGCACTAGAGAGAACAGAGAGGATTACACTCGATGATGATGAGCTGTCAATTTCTTTTATTCAAACCTTGCCAAACAGTAATAACCAATGTCACTTGTAGAGTATCCGTGTTGGAGGGGCACTATATTGTGTCTCCCCCACCACCCCGAAGTGCTAGGCTTTGTTTATGTACTAGCATTGATTCTGCTAATGCAAGGTCAGGGTGGGGTTTGCCAGAAGAACAAAAATTGGGTGATCTATTCTCCAATCTTTTTCCACTCATGGAATTTTTACTGTATAATGAGGCTGGTAGGTAGGGGATGCCTTAGTGTTCTAAGCATCTGATTTGAAATGCAAGCAGCCCTTCATCCTCCTGTCAGACAAAAGGAATAACATGCAGTTTAATGCTGATTAACCTTTAGGGTCAAACTGTTTTGTTCTGTATGGATATTTACATACGAGTAAAGGTTTGGTTCCACCACCCTGCCACTTTTTTCAGTGTGCTGTACACCCATCAGCATCTGTCTACCCACCTATCTCACCAAATTGGCTGCCTTTCCTTTCGTACGGCCCTGCGATCCTTTAGGATGATAAGTTTCATGTAAATCTAAAATATTAGGGGTCAAACTCTGTTCTGAGTTATGCTGGTGTGCTTTTACTATGAATATCGTTGTTATGGTCACAGATAACTCCAAGGGTACTATTCTGATACCTTTGGTTATATCACATACATTTTAGGATGAGATGTGCTGTGTTTGGAACACTAATTAAATGTGATTTCAAATCTCTGAATAACCTTTTTTTAATGCTCTGGTTTTAGGATCCAGAAGTCAGCAAGGATGATGCAAAATTTGAAATGCAAAAAGGTACATTTCTTGATACTCTGGGAAATCTTTTACTAAATGAAATAAAGTGGAAACTAGGTCTGTCAAGAGACAATTTTCTTTGCATCATTGAAAACACCAAAGATAACATAGGAAATCTGGGGATGGCCTGCACTGTGCTTGGAGCCTGATCTTGCTCCCAGTGAAGTCAATGGCAACACTCCCATGCAGCAGGTTTTGTTCAGAAGGTCTAGAGTCAGTATCTTAATACCTATGGCAATCCTTTAGCTTTACGGTGTCATTTTGGAACAAGATTTGAGGCGTCCTTTGCTCAGCATCTGGGTCTTTCAGTGCTATTATATCATGATCGCATGAGGCAGCAGAACGTCTCTACGAACGTGAGAAGGATAAGATGTCAGAAGAATAGAAAGTGCTTGCCAGGAAAGCTACCAAAAAGTGCTGAATTGCTAAATCTGCTGGTATATAAGCCAGTAACGAAGCACTGTTTTGCCAGTGCCCCCATGATGCTAATCCTTTAGTTTACATAGGCGGAAAATATTTTACCAACTATTTACTATGTATTGTATGCCCGTCATCTCTGTGAGGCCAGTGTTTGTACCAAACAAATTAATGAGTTCCTGCTGCTAATTAAAGCCAGCAAGTTAAAGCCCTTTTGAAGTCAATGAGGCTCTACACCTGCAACCAAAGGGAGGATTGAAGCACAGCGTTTACAGAAGGAGTGTCAAGGTGGCATGCATGTAAATACTTATTGGTGGTGTGCCTTTTACAGTCCTGCCTGATGGATTCCTGTTGGTGCATCTGTCACATCTTGACTGGGCTCCTGTAAGGGAATGTCTTCACTGCAGAGTTAGCCCAGGTGATTAGCACCTGAGTCCGAGCATTCAAGTTAGGCTAGCTCAGGTGTGAGCAGCCACACGGCAAAGCTATGCCTGTATTACTGCATCCTCACTGATGCTACACTCACCCATGTGTGTAACTAGGACTGCTGGGGGCACATCCCATAACGCTTGGCACTGCAGTAAATTGAGCCACTCTATAATTTTTTCCCAGTAAATTGTGGGAGGATTTGTCTGTCCTTCTAGGCACATGGGGAATTATGGGACGGCATTGGAGGACGATCAGCATTCAGTGATTTTAGCCTGTGTCCTCTCTGCAAAGTGGGCACATTACCAGCCTGAGTGAAAGTGGAACCCAGGCTCTAACCATCACCCCCAGCCAGCCCAGCTAACCCGGGGTGAAAGCACCAGCAAACTTGTGTGAAAGGGTTTTTGTGTGTGGATGGGACGTGAGTTAGGGGCAACATTTGAGTCAGAGCCTGAGCTAACTCTGCAGTGAAGACATTCCCTTCTCATTCTCACCCCAAGCAGAGAGTGTTAGGGTAAGGCTTATTGAAGTGGTTAGTCGCTGCAGTACACAGCATCCCACTGTCTGGGTGAGGTTGGTTTCTGTGAGCGCATAACACCTTTACACTGTGTGCCCCACCAGCAACCAATTGGTAATTCAGCGTGCCAGCCAGCCCTTCAGGGTCTGGGAGTTGGTTATTTAATGCACTGTCTGTCACCTCATTTGAACCTTACATTTGATGTTTACTGAGATGTCTCTGCTGTCAGTGCCTTTCAGGTCAGCAGCAAGGCACTCTGAGCTGAAAGTCCCCACCTTGCTGTGCCCATCAAAGCTTGAATTTGCATTCGTACACATGGACATTTGTACACGTTTTGTTCGGTCAGACTTTTGACTGAATATTAATTTAGGCCCTGGTCCTGCAGGTCTCAGCATGGGCACGGGGAGCTGCTTCCATAGGGCTCATTGCAAGATCGGGGCCATTAACTCTATTAGACAAGGAAGTTTTCTGTCAGGGGTGGAGCTTTTTAAAATCAGTCCTGATGATTCTGGCTCTTGTGTACTTTAATATTATTACACAGCACTGTGCGTCCAGGGCAGTCGCTGTACCGCCTAAGATAATGAATAAGGATAAATACATGAATAAATCACTGGCTTTGTTTGATTGCAGATGACAGGCAGCAACCAATTTCAGCTCACCTAATGGGGTTCAAGAACAGCACCAAGAAAGTATCAGGTAAGGAACTCAGCTTTGCCAGACCCTATTCACAAATCAGAGGGGTGGAGAAGGAAAGTGGGATTTATAAGTGGTGAAATAATCATAATAATAATTATAATAATTGGGAGGGCATATCTAGTGGAGTCCCCCAGGAGTCAGTCCTGGGTCTGGTACTAGTCAATGTTTTCATTAATGACTTGGATAATGGAGTGGAGGAGGGTATGCATATAAAATTTGCCGATGACAGCGTTCCAAGCACTTTGGAGGACAGGATTATAATTCAAAATAATCTTGACAAATGGTCTGAAATCAACAAGATGAAATTCAATAAAGACAAGTGCAAGTACTTCATTTTGGAAGGACAAATTAAATGCACAACTACAAAATGGGGAATAACTGGCCAGGCAGTTGTAGTACCCAAATCCTGAATAGGATCTGGGCGTTATTGTGGGTCACAACTTGAATATGAGTCAACAATGTGATGCAGTTGTGAAAAAGGCTAATATTCTGGGTGTATTAACAGGAGTGTTGTGTGTAAGATGTGGGAGATAATTGTCCCATTCTAGTCAGCTGAAATATTGTGTCCAATTTTTGGGTGCCATGCTTTAGGAAAGAGGTAGATAAACTGCAGAGAGTCCAGAGGAGAAAACAAAAATGATAAAAGGTTTAGGTAGCCTAACCCATGAGAAAAGGTTAAAAAAACTGGGTATGTTTAGCCTTGAGAAAAGAAGACTGAGGGGGGTCTGAGAATAGTCTTCAAATCTGTTAAGGGCTGTTATAAAGAGGACTGTGATTGATCGTTCTACCATGTCCACTGACAGTAGGATAATAAGTAATGGACTTAACCTGCAGCAAGGGAGAATTCGGTCAGATACTAGGAAAAACTTTCTAACTATAAAGCTAGTTAAGTTCTGGAATAGGCTTCCAAAGGATGTTGTGGAATCCCTGTCAGGTTGAACAAACACCTGTCAGGGAGGGTCTAGGTTTACTTAGTCTGCCTCAGCACAGGGGACTGGACTAGAAGACTTCTTGAGGTCCCTTCCAGCCCTCCGTTTCTATAATTCTATGATAATATCTAGCTCTTCTGTAGTGCTTTTTCGATAGAGCTCAAAGCACTTTATAAAGGAGGGGAGTAGCATTAGCCTCATTTTACAGATGGAGAGACTGAGGCACAGAGAGGTGACATGACTTGCCCAAAGTCACCCAGCAGGCCAGTGGCAGAGCTAGGAATAGCACTCAGATCTCTGCTCTAGCCACTGGGCACACATTTTCTGTGTGGGGTTTTACTCTTCAGGGAATCAAACTCAGCAGTAACTATGTAGAGTATTATTATTGAGTATGATGATATTGCATGTAGGCTAACTTCTGCTTGCCTTACTCATGCGCATCTGCCCACTGGACTCCACTGTGACAATGCACTTGAATAAGGTGGTTTCACTTTGGTCCTATGTGAAGTGTAATTGAAGGGCTACAGTGAGTTAGAAGACAATAATTCCAGCACAGGAGTTTGGTGACAACGTAAAACTAAACCTCGCAATGAACATTTTTCCTTTTGCTTCATTACTGGTGGTTTTCTGTGGTTTTTTTTTTATCCTGTTTCCTAGAAATAAATAGATGTTCCTTAAGAAAAGGAAATAATGTCATTGTTTTCAAATGGACCACCCTCCTGCTGAAACCTGGCTAAAATACATTTGATCTTGTAGGCATGTCACGCACTTTGAAGGACTGGGGAATTGGGTGCCTTTCGCAGAGAGAAAAAGAGTGTGTGTGTGTGTGTGTGTGTGTGTAGTGTATGTGTGGGCTTTTCGTAACGTTATTTCTGGTGGTCATTTTTACAAGAAACTGCTAAATGCAGAATAGCATCATACCAGGGATTGTCAGGGTCAGCTGTGAGTGGAGAGGGTTAGGGCTGGTTTAAGTGAAGAGTAATGTTCGTCATATGCAGAATCTGAAATAGCCCATGGCATAGGCAAAATAAGGCCTAGTCCCGCAAACCCTTAGTCATGAGTGTAGTCCTTACTCATGCAAAGCGTCTCACTCTTCTCAAGGCTGTCTCCACATTTCCCCTAAAATTTCCCAGCTTTGATATCAACAGTGAGAGCACTCATTAGATAAGGCACTGATGGTCACTGGCTTTACAGGGTATATCTACACTGCAATTAAAAACCCAGGACTGGCCTGTGCCAGCTGACTCAGGCCCGCAGGGATCAGGTTATGGGGCTGTTTAATTGCAGTTTAGACGTTTGGGCTCTGGCTGGAGCCAGGCTCTAGGACCCTGCAAGGTGGGAGGGTCCCAGAATTTGGGCTGTAGCCTGAGCCCCAACCTCTCTATTGCAATTAAACAACCCCTTAGCCAGAGCCCCATGAGCCTGAGACAGCTGGCACAGGCCAGCCACCGGTGTCTAATTGTAGCATAGACATATCCTTAGTCACTATAATGAACGTATAGACACCATGGAGCCATGTTCTGTACCATCTCAATTACATTTACCTTGAACAGTTTTCTGAAACTGCTCAATATGTTGTGGTCCTGTCTACACTTGCATTCATACCATTTTCACCACTGGTTCGGCAGCAATAGGTAAATTTTCTAGAGTAATCCTAGCCCAGGAGACAGCCTGCAAGAGCAAAGGTGTATGAGTTAGAGTCTGCAAGATCAGACCTATAATCTGGTAAAAATCTCTAAACCTAAGCACATTTCGATTGACTCTGGAGTAACTACCAGTAAACAGCAATTGCTCTTTCCATCTCTGACGCTACAACTCACACAGACTTTATTCCACTTTATAGTTCAACCCATAACCTTGGGGAAACCTTAGTATCAGATAAAAATCACAAAAAAACTCCCTGTAATCCTGTTGTTATAATGCAAACTAACAAACACTCAGAAATGAACTAATTGGCTGGAACTCAATGCTTAGACTCAGCCATTGGGGAAAAAGAAAACAAGCCAGTAACATGCACATGTATAGATCTCATGATGGATTATTCCTTCACTAACAGAACTTCCTACTAAAGGACAAGATACCCATCCTGCTCCCATTGCAGTGAATGGTATTTCAGTTTCTCCAGGGTTGGGTTCTTTGTGAGGTAATTAGAAACGCTGATACTGGATATTATTTTCATATTAATATCCGAGGCTGGAGTTCATTCTCTTCTCTTTACTGGATTATAGTAGGTCACTCAACACACAGCTTGCTCTGGAACAGTCATAACCTTCAATGGGATTATTTGTGTGCCCTAAATCCAGAGTCAGCTCCTTTCAAAGGCAGTGCCCGAGCACCTGAAGGCTGCATTGACTTCAATGGAGCTATGCCCATTTACCGCAGCTGAGAATCTGGCTCTTTGTGTTTATTATTTGTAGCAAAACGGATTATAACCATGACTACTTCTCTGCTGTGTAAAGAAGGCCAAATGCTAAGCCACACACCAGGTCAATCAGAGGGGACAGTGTGGGTTAAGAACCAAAAAAACCCAACTTCCTTCCTGGGTATAAATAACACAGCAGGGCAAAAGGCCACTCTAGTGCTGGGATCCCATTAGAGTGCAGAGGGGAGCGATATAATATCCACCTAGAGCTCCCAATCCGGCTCTAATAATTCCCATCAGCTTGTAGATGATGACAACTGATACAACTACTTGCCATGAAGAACAAGGAGCCCCTTTCTCCCAGAGCAGGAAGAGGGAGCACAGAAAGAGGGAGGCTGTGCTGTGGGCAGCGCTCACAGCCCCAGAGGAGGAGCGTCTGGGCAGGAGCAGGATGGAGACTGGGAAGCTGTGCTGCGGAGCAGTTGTCTTGCTACATGCTGTAGACACACTTCGAGAGAGACAGTCCTTACCACAATGAGTTTACAGTCTAAACAGACAAGAGAGACTTGGGGTGGGACTGATTCCATTCACATGAAACGTTCTAATGGTATTTTTTTCTCCTAATGTGATTTCTGACTCATTCAACTCAAAAGTGATGTTTTTCCCTCCACAGTTTTACAATGGCAGAAAACGGGGTACGCCCCTATGAGCAACCTGATATCCTACAAAGGAGGGAAATTGAAGGTGGAAAAAGAAGGGCTCTACTACATCTACTCCCAGGTCAGCTTCTGCACCAAGACAGCTCCTGGGGCGCCATTTACGGTGTTTATTTATTTGAACCTACCATCGGAATCTGATCGGCTCTTATTAAAGGGACAGGATACACACAGCTCATCCAGTGTTTACTGTGCCCTACAATCCACTCACCTGGGAGGAGTGTTTGAACTCCGGAAAGGTGACGTGGTGTTTGTTAATGTGACAGATTCAACTCAAGTGAACTATGATCATGGAAACACATACTTTGGTATGTTTAAACTCTATTGAGAAGTGACCTGCTATGAAGAACAGAACTGCAGGAGGCCCAATCCCAACTTTGTTGAACAAAGTGAATCCTGGTTTCCAATATTTATGTTCCTCTGCATCTTTAGTTTTCTTGTATCTAGTTCTGTATATTTTGTTATTTATTAACGGGGGCAGAATGAGCCCTTAGAACGGAAACAGAACAAAGTTTGGAGCTGTTACTGTGTGCACTTTGTTCTCACCTTTACTCATTGCGGAATGTCTGTACACATCTGTATCATATGTATTTAAGCCCAGGCTCTGTGTGCTATCACTTGTCTGACAGGGTGGATATGCTTATTTAGTAGAACATAATATGAGTGTTTCTTTCCAAACAACATTACGTATCTCTCAGGGGACTCCAGTCAGATAGATTTTATGTACCTCTTTTTCAATCTGCTTATAAAGTAACAATGGAAAAATGGTTTAGAAATATCTTCTCTAGGAAAAAAGCAATCAGCAAATTGCCATCCTTAAGCGGTAACTGCTAATGACACATATTTACCATTTAAATCATATATTTCACCTGAAGTCTCCCTTCTTTTCATCTCTGTATATGTACAATATACAATCAGCAGAACCTTGTACCTTTTATAATCATGTGATATTTGCTGAGGCTTGTTCACACTGGATGAAATTCACTCTGGAGCAGAAGGGCCTGCACAAGGTCCATGTGCCACTCATGTCCTCAGAACAGGGCTTCAGTGAGATGTAAATAGTCCTCTGCCCCAGGGTGAATTTCATCCACAGGCCTAGACTGTCCTGCATAGATTTGTGAATGAAGGGGACACTGCTCATGGAACAACCCTCACCCATGTGGAAGGGAGCCATAGCCACCCTCCCCGTACCACGACCCCTTCTCTCCAGGCCCCCTGGACAACCCTCCTCCATGGGCCTTTATTCCACATTGGGGAAGAAATGAGAAGGCAGAAGGCTGGACCAGGCAGGATCCCTTGTCCAGTCCTATGATACACCTCCAAGCTGTACTATCTATTGTGTAGAGCCTCCCCTGGGCATTTTGGGGCTACCACTGCCAGGATAGGTCCTGTTAGAGCGGCTCCATTGGGGTCACTAGGGCCATAGCTGGTGCAGTGGGACTGGACCTCTAAGGCCCCAGAGCCTTTTCCATGTGTGAACAATGGGTAATATGGGGATGTCCTTGCTGAGATTTTCTCCTCCAGACCTTCCTCCCATGGACTGTGTGAGAGGGTGATCCGGGCCATAATAAATTAAGACAGTTACATAGCACCTTGCACCCAAAGATCCCAAATACCAAGAGACTTTTCAGGGTCCTGATCCTGGAACTCTGACTCACTCAAGTAGTGCTCACTCATGGGAGTAGCTCTGTTGAAGTAAATAAGATTGCTTGTATAAGGGTTGCAGGATTGGGACATAGGATTTTTGCCTGAGTAAAGATTGCAAGATTGGCCCATATAGCATAGCATGGTCACTTGCCCCATCTTCAATATGCAGCCACCTCTGGGGTGGAAAGTAGTAGTCTTTACACGCAGAACACACCAATACCAGTGACTGTGGATTTAAGGCCTGATGCTGCACCTATGGATATCAATGGGAGGCATGCTCAGAATCTGCCCGTCTAATTTTACTATAATTTAATATGTAGTGTTGGTGGCATAACTTTATTAGAGAATGGAGTCAGTGAAATATTTTTGTTTGATGCATTGTGTAAACATTATTTATTTAATTAAAGCTGTATTATATTCATGGACAAAGGGAAGTTGCATTGAAAAATAGGAAGTGTGCAAGGAATAAATATGACTGTTTGTTATGTTTGTGCAGTAACGTCGGATCCCCAGTATTGAATGTTGAGTTCTGAAGTGCTAAACAGGAAGTGCTGTGTTGCTTACACATCACAGCACTGAGCTGATTTGCAGTCTCGCTACAACAATTGGTGTAGAATTCTCCATACTGTAGTGTTACAAATAACATACCATTTATAAATTAACAAATAAAATTTCATTTTATACAGTTTTTAACGCGGTTGCATTTTTAAAAAACTGCCAGAGTTTGTCACACTGATTTGGGGTCTAGTGTAGAGTTCTGTACTGTTGCCCATCACTGTATCATCTGAGCACTTATCCTACAGGATACTATATATGTTTTCCTAGCTGAAGTCATGACACTCAACATTATATGTACTCTTGCAGTTAGACAAGGATTTTGACTTCCTCTGTTGCCATACACAATATGCCAGTGCCTGTTTTATCCATGTATTTCTTGTGTATTTTCCGTATGAGTTTCCTCTCAGCTCTTTTTTTTTTTTTTTTTGCATAACTTCTTCCTCCTGCAAAAGTTACTCTTCATCAGATGGAAGTGGAAAAGTGAAATTATCTCAGCCAATCAGAGTGCAGTTACATACAATTCTCTTCACATTGATTGATTTAGGGAATCTTATTTGCATACTGACTCTGTGCAATAACTACGTAGTATGGAAATATATGTACCCTAGCTGGTTGCCAGCCATTATTAGCCAGTTAAAGAACAAGGATCTGTAGAACCACTGGATAGTTATTTCTCACAGATTGTTCTGTGAATGCAACTCTTTGCACTCCCATTTCTTCAATGCAGCAGTGATGGGGGGGAAGAGGCAGCTGCAGCATGTAATACACAGAGGTGGCTGTTGCATTCAACAACCAATATTAAAATAAGAAACAATATGGGATATTTAGCACAATGGAAATTTACGGAGTTTTTAAAATCATTTCACATTGTCATAGAAATTAAACCCCGCTAAAGGAGCCAATGGGAATGGACAGCAGATATCTCAGGGCCAAAGATCAGCTACAGCTGGGAAACAGTAAACTTATCAAGGCTTCTGTCCCTGAAGCAGGGGCTTTCACCAGGTCTCTGCAGCAGTCAACACCGTTGACCACGAGATACCGCCATCTCACCTGCAAGAGATGGCAGGGATCCAGGGGAAAGCACTATGATCAAGGAACTCCATGGCCTGGGCCCCAGACATCTAAAAGAGCCTAAAGACCTGGGATGAAGACAGTGGCCCACACTTGCTCTGCTCAGGCACGATGGAACTCTTGGCAATAAAAGAGTAAGGCTCTTCTGTGTGGGACACAGAGCTTTCCTGGGGGCTGGTGGGAAACTATGGAACAAACTCCCCCAGTGTTCTGTGTTCAAGCATAAAAACAGAGAGAGCATCATTCAGACTTTAATCCTTCCTCCACATATAGTGCACTCTCTCCTCAAGCACTTACTGAAAGTAGAGTTCTCTACATTCCTAGCCATTACCCTATACATAATCATACTCATCATACTGTAACGCCCCCATTGAGCAGCCAGCTATTGTAGCACACAGGAACGAAGGATCATTACAAATCTCACTACCTTTTGCTCCAAATGCAAGATGCATTTCTTTGACAGAGTAATGTGTATTAAAAACCAACCAACCAACCAAGCAAAATACTCTGCCAAAACAAAACATTCCACTGCACACACAATTCACCCCTGAGGGGAGAGGATGAGAGAACACATGACAGATGTTAGTCACTTTGCTTAATGCACCACTGAAGGTGCTCAGATACCATGGAGATGAGTGTGGTAGAAGAAGCTATATAGAATAGAATAGAATAGAATAGAATAGAATAGACACAAGATTTGCACCAGTAGAATTCATCTATTTTCGGTGGCGGCACACACGCATCCAAACTCATGTCTGTCTACCACCAAAATATCCTTCAGGTTTTTCAGTGTACTTATTCCCCTTTTTAGAGTGGCACAAATCCCTAATGGCATAGCTATATCGGCACAGTGGCAACGTGGACACACAGACATCAGTACTGTATTGCCAACCTCCACAGATGAAAAAAATCATGAGTTGGACCCCTCCCCCTCCCAAAATCATGCGTTTTTCTTTTAAGAAGATTTTACTGTGCCTTTTTTGGTCTGTCTTTTGATTTTTGATCTCCCCTGGCCCATCTCCAGTGTGTGTGTGTGTGGATGACAATCACCATTGTCCACTCTCCCAAATTTATTGGGTAAGCTGATTTTGTTCCCTACTGCAGAAGCTCTTACCCTCACATCTGCCTGTTCCCTGCCCAGCAATTAATTCTGCTCCCACCCCCTCAGTTCAGCCCCCACCCCTCAAACCTTCAGTTCAGCTCTCCAGTCCTCCTACCCATATCAGTTCGGCCGCCCTCAGTGCCCAGCACCTCCGTTCAGCCCCCACAGCCCCATCTATTCAATCCCCACTGAGTTCAGCCCCCCGTGCCCCTCAGCTCAGCCCCCTCTGAACTGAACCCCCCTCAATTCAGCCCCCTCAGTCCCATCTATTCAATCCCCACTGAGTTCAGCCCCCCGTGCCCCTCAGCTCAGCCCCCTCTGAACCCCCCTCAATTCAGCCCCCTCAGCCACATCTATTCAATCCCCACTGAGTTCAGCCACCCGTGCCCCTCAGCTCAGCCCCCTCTGAACCCTCCTCAATTCAGGACCCCGCTCAGTTCAGCCCCCTGCATCCCTCAGGTCAGCCCCCCCAACTCCCCTCAGTTCAGACCCCTCAGCCCTGTCTGTTCAGACCCTCCTCAGTTCAGTCCTCCAGCCCCCCTCAGTTCAGCCGCCCTCAGTGCCCAGCACCTCCGTTCAGCCCCCGCAAACCCCCTCAGTTCAGGCCCCTGCTCAATTCAGCCCCCCACATCCCTCAGTTCAGCCCCCCCAAACTCTCCTCAGTTCATCCCCCTCAGTTCAGACTCCTCAGCCCTGTCTGTTCAGACCCCCACTCAGTTCAGCCCTCCAGCCCCCCCTTAGTTCAGCCTCCTCAGTTCAGCCCCCCCCTTAGTTCTGTCCCCATCCCCACGTTCAGCCCCCCAGCCTCACCACTGCTCCTCCTGGGTTCTTCACACCCCTCTCCAGGCCTTGGGACTGCAGTGGGGTCCCCTCCCGGTTCCAGGCTGGGGGGGGGGCGCTCCACGGGCTGTTCACCCCCCAGTGCCCCTTCCCAGGCGATGCTGCAAGGG